CCTAAAAAAATAGATTTTAATAAAAATATTTCAATATATTCAATATCTTCTAAAAATAATTGTAAAGTATTATCTTTCATTATTGATAATATTTTACATAAATTAATTGAACAATTTGGATTTAAATTACATAAATATCTTAACATTATTTTATAATATTTTGTTGAATTAAAATAATTAATTGCAATAAATTTATAAACATTTTCAGAAATATTTTCATTGTTAGAAAAATAAATAATCAAATTTTTTAAAAAATAATCATAATCAATACATTCATTTATAAATTCATTACTATATATAATATTATTACTATATATATCTTTATAATCATCAATACTATCTATATATTCATATACTCTATTAGGATTATTTAATATATTATGAATAAAAAATTTTATAGATTCTTTATTTGTAAAATTAATTTGATATTTTAATAATTGATAATTAAAATTATTAATAAATTTAGTTTCTTTTTTAATTTTATTTTCTATTTTTTTAAATCTTTTTATAAATTTATTATTTTCATAATAATAAAAATATTTATCAACAATTAATGTAAATGTTAAATGTTCAACATTAAATAATTCATTTAATTTATTATAATGTTCTAATAGAAATGATTTATACTTATTTAACCAAAATATACTATTTATATTATTATTATTATTTTCATCATGATGACATAATTTAATATATTCATGATTACTTTTACTTTCATAATTAGTATTATTATTAATATCATTATTTATATATATATTAATAACATGATTCCAATCAGAAGAAACACATCGGAATGAACATATGTCATTTAATGATATAAATGATGCAATAACAGTTAATGAATCAATAGACAGTACATGTGATATTTGTGTCATTTTTTAATAATAATAATTAGCATGCCTTTCATGATTCATTATCAATCATAATCAATTTAATTAAAAAATGTCAGCACATGGTAATAGTGGAAATCGTGTAAAAAATTTAAAAGGAACCACTGGATGTTCACATTATAGAGGATTAGAAGAAAATTTAAATAGTGATACTAAATGTGCAGTTAATGGATGTGATGGAAATGCAACAAGAGCATGTCATGTTATTTATTCTAATCAAAATGAAAATACAGGTACAAGATATATTGTCTACATGTGTCCTAGTTGTAATGGTAAAAATGATCAAATATTTGATATTAGATTAAATGCAAAAATGTATGAATTAAATAATTGTACATGTGGTCATTATTAAAAATTATTAATTAATTATATTCATCATTATTTAGACTATTAATTTACAATACTGAGTCTGTACTGAAATTGAAACAAATTTTTATATATCATGTTAATAATATTATATTAATAAGAATGGTAATTAATGAATCTAATGTATATAGTATCTATTAGATTTTGGCGCTAATTTGTTACCGCTCTCAAGCGTTAATAATTATCATTTAAAAAAAAAGCCTTAATACATTTTTATTAACAGTGTATTAATAACACTATTTTGATACTGCTGAAGGATGGAGAATATCAATCCTCAACTCGACAAGACAAATTTAAAATACTACAATAATCAAATTAATATGTTTCAACAACCTCAATCTTTTTCCTCAATGAAAAAGAATCCAAATACTAATAATATGAATACTACTAATAACATGACTAATAATCCTCAACAAATTAATTACATGCAACAACAACAACAATACATGATGATGATGGATCCAAATGCCATGAATCAAACTGTAACATCACCTACTCTTCTTCAACAACAACAGCAATATATGAATATGATTGCTGCTACAATGATGAATCAACAACAATTACCATCAAATAATTATTCAAAGCCTCCTAATACTATTAATAATATGAATTATCAATTACAACAACAACAACAACCCTCCAGTAACATTTCAATTAGTAATTTGCCTCAATCTAATATGATTGGTAGTAATAATAATGTTACTACTACTAGTACAACTAAATCTGTATCATTCAATCCTTCATCCACTAATTTATCATCCTCAACAGCCTCTTCTAATATGACTAATACTCATTCTACTTCACAATTATCTGCTCAAAATATTAATACTATTAATACTAAAACTAAAACCCTTCTTAATAATCCTAATACTAGTATTATTGGTAATAATCCAACAATAAGTAATAATACTGTTAGTAACACAACTGCTAATAATGCCACCTCTACTGCTGCTACTTCAGCTAGCAATAATAATAATTCATTAGTATCATCTACTAGTACTAATACTAATACTAATACTACCACTACTACCAGCAACAATAATACAACTCGAGTTAAAGTAGTTGTTAGAGTTAGACCACAAGTATCAGAAGATATAAGTAATAGTCAAATATTTGGAGAATATCCACCATGTGTAGCAACAGTTAAAAATACAGTTATATTAAAAAGAGAATGTTATGATGATAGAGAATTTACATTTGATAAAGTGTTAGAACCAACATGTTCTCAAGATGAAATGTATAAACAAGTTGGTAAAAACATTGTTAATGATGTATTAAAAGGATATAATGGAACTGTATTGGCATATGGTCAAACAGGATCAGGTAAAACATTTACTATATTTGGAAGTTCAACAGATCCAAAAAGGATTATTAAACCTAATGAAAATATAATTGATAAATATAGTGGAGTTATTCCTAGATGTATAAATCAAATATTTGAACATGTACAAGAATATTCAAATAATACAGAATTTAGAGTTTTTGTTTCATTTATGCAAATATATATGGAAAATATAATGGATTTACTTGATGCAAGTAAAACAAATTTACCAATTAGAGAAGATCCAAAAAATGGAGTATTTGTAGAACAATTAACACAAGTACAAGTTAATGAACCTTATGAAGTAATGCAATTAATTAAGGAAGGATCTAAAAATAGACAAGTAAATTCTACAAATATGAATAAGTTATCTTCACGTTCACATGTAATATTAATGATTACAGTTGAACAAAAATCATCAAGTGATAAAAGTGTTAAAAGAGGAGTGTTACATATTGTTGATTTGGCAGGAAGTGAAAGAGTTTTTAAATCTGGAAGTGAAGGTCAACGATTGGAAGAAGCTAAAAAAATTAATAAGAGTTTAAGTGCTTTGGGTAATTGTGTTGCTGCCCTGACAGAGGAAAATGTTTATCATGTACCATTTCGTGATTCCAAATTAACACGTTTATTAACAGATTCATTAGGTGGTAATGCTAAAACATGTCTTGTTGCAACTATTGGACCATCTATGTGGAATTATGATGAATCTTATTCTACTTTACATTTTGCTAATAGAGCAATGAATGTTAAAAATCAGCA